TTATATATATTATATATAATATGTACAGTTTAGCTATAAAACTTTGATGTGTAAAGAAGCTGTCTTCAATGAAAAATTGAACATTCAGAGGAAATTCCTGAGTTAGGGTTTTGTGACATGGGCCACTGAGAAAAAAAGCTGCGGTTGGGTCCTCAGAGGTGTTATGTCCATCCCTGTTAAGATTGAAATCAACATACAAAAACAGACAGTGTTGCCACTGCTTCGTTCCCTGCCTGAGCAAGGGATAGCACCATTGTGAAGAGAACTCCTGCTTGTAGAGAGGAGGGAATACTTAAAAACAGTATTGCTGCTAAGACCACTGTAGTGTGCACCAAATACGTTCTTCTAGACAACAAATGAACACTGCCACTAGCTGACTGAAGAACACCTGACCAGGTGTAACGTTAAGGTTACAAGTCACTAGGTGTAATCTTTCCTAGGTTGTTCATCTGTTGTACATTTATCAGTCATTTCCTGACAGAAGTCTACCGTGACCGTTTGGCTGCTCTGCTCTGGCGGAAGCTCTCTCTCGGGGTAAGTACCTGTGTCAGCTCCATCCAACCCCCCGCTGGCCGAACAATTTTCCGAGATGTTGTTGGGCAGCCAGGGCGCTCCCAGTTGCACTGAGCCTTGCTCCGAGCAGCACTGCATGCTTTCGCTGATGCACTGGGAGGTCACCAGGCTCTGCTCCATGCCAGCTGGGGAGGGGCTGATGGTGGTGGCTGGCTGTAGATCTATGGGTCTGAGAACGGGGCAGTATCGGTGGAGAGCTTGGATCTGTTCCGGGCTCTGCATGTCTCTACACACTTCTTGGGAAAGACATGAGAAGTTGTCCAACAATTCTCCCATGCTTGCTTTCAGCTGGTTCCTTTCTGAGAGCAATTTCTCTTTCTCACACACCTGAAAAAGTAAGAAGGCATCTTAGGTTGAGGAAGGGCCATCTGCTGGCCGCACACCCCGGGCATGGGGTACCCAAGTGCCGGGTACCCAAGAACACCACCAACACGTCACAGTTATTTTTATATGGGCAGAGGAAAAGTCACAAAGACATCAGGTATTTGACCACCATGAGGTCCGTGTGGACTGCAGTTTGGGAAACATCTGGAGAAAAACATTTGAGTTGGAAGAGGACAGAGTCACAAGTTATTCCCAAGAGGCTTCGCTTTATAGACTAAGGATGCTTGATGGATGACACAAAATATCTCCAAAAGAAACATATTGAGGGAGAAAAGGCATTACCCATCTAAACAGCAAGAAAACAGGGTTTAGTTCCTGAAGTGAGGATACGCTGCAGAAGTTCAGTTCACCCTCTAACTGCAGGGTCGGTCAGTCAGGCTGGGTGCACCCGCTTTGGCCCGTGTGCCAGCTGAACCCCTGTTACCAGAGAGCTGCGTTATTCAGAGGAGAGGATCTGCGTGTGTGCTCTGTGGCCTGCACCATGGCTTGTTTTCTTATGTCCTGGTGCTTTGACCTAATCAAGATATTTTTATGAAGATGTATGTGAAAAACCTGAAGGTTGGTGGGCTTCTTAACACTCAGTACAATAAGCTTATTTCCCCTTTGTTCTGCTCAGACTCTGCCTCCTGTGCTCCCACATGTCCTCCCCTACCAACATCTAGCTCAAGCATGTTCAGAGTTTCACTGTGTCACCGGGCTGCTCTAGGAGTGGGCCAGGTGAGAGGCAGGACGGTACTGTTGAGGAGGAAGAGCGAGAGAGTCTGGTGGGACTTATTTTTTCATGCAGGATTAAAAAACTGGGAAGAGTAGCTCAAGTTCTTCTGCATCCAACGAAGCACTGGTAAAGGCCCCCAGCCCTGGCTAGTGCAGGGTGCTGTGCGATGTGCTGTGGTGGGGGTCGTCTCCAGCTTACATCTCATGTGGCAGGCAAGCCTCTGGCGGGGTGAGCGCTGCCCTCCCCGTGTTCAGGAGGCAGGTTGGGGGAGTTAGGCACAGAGCCAGACCCAGCCTCGGGTAACACCTCTAAAAACCAGTGTTGACCCAGTGCAGACTGATTGGGATGGTCCTGCTGCATCACTTTCTGTCCCAGGAAGGTGGGCATACAGCTTGAGGGAGTAGATGAGATTTTGTAGAGTACCAGAGCTATTTCCAGAGCTGAGCTGGCCTTGAAAGCAATGCAGCCGTGTACCTCACCTAGTAACACTGCTAAACCCAAGCTGCCTCGGCATCTGAGGCGTGAAAACTTCACAACTCAGATAATCCAACTATGGGTGGTCGTTGACAGCTGATGGTATTGCCCTGGGTACAAAGCCCACACTGGAAGCATACAGCTGTGCGAATAAGAAAAAGAGTAGGGCACATGAAAAGAACCAACTGCTAAAATATTGATAAATCTATCAAGAAAGCATAAAAATAATAAAAAAATAAACAGGCTTTCAAGTACATCTTGAGATAATGAATTATGGAAGAGAATATGCTGTGAGTTTGCAGGGAAAAAAGGGAATGTGAGTGGGTAGATGGATGAGTGAGGGAAAGCAGGCAAAAAACCGTACCTCTCAAAGTCAGAGGATACGACCATTTCACTCACTGTCTGCTATGAAACCATCTGTGTCAAGAAGATGGGTGACTTACAGGAAGAAAGTGCAGGGGGGTAAAGGGGTCTTTCACAAAAGAGACCCGGGCGAGTGAAAAACCCTTAAACCCTAGTACCACTACATAATTCAGGAGACTGGAAATTACTGGTCACAAAGTGGACAGAAGATGACAAAGGAATTTCCAGTGATCATGTATTGTGTGAAGTCAACTGGAGTTTCCCTGCTGGTTATCCTATGGGTAAAAGTAAGATTTTGAAGCAGACTACCTGCTTGGACAGCATGCATATGGGGGGAGGGCAGGAGTGCTTGAGAAGCAAAGTTAAAGTTGCATGAGTTTAATTTTGCAGCTTCATACTCTTGCACACCTTGTGACTGTCTTTTTTACGAATGCCCTTTTTCAGACCAATGCACCACATCCCACAGAATCACAGAATCGTTTAGGTTGGGAAAGACCTTTAAGATCATTAAGCCCAACCGTTAACCTAGCACTGCCAACCCCACCACTAAACCATATCCCTAACCACCACATCTACACGTCGTTTCCCCCCGCATCCAATAAAGGATGGAGATTCTCCTTTTGTTGATGATGTATTTATAGAAACTTTTTTTATTGTCTTTTATGGCAGTAGCCTGATTAAGCTCTAGTTGATCTTTGGCCCTTCTGCTTTTCTCCCTGCATAACCTCATGACATCATTGTAGTCCTCCTGAGTTGCCTGCCTCTTCTCCCAAAGGTCACAGACTCTCCTTTTTTTCCTGCATTCCAGCCAAAGCTCTCTGTTCAGCCAGGCCAGTCTTCTTCCCTGATGGCTCATCTTTTGGCACATCGGGACGGCCTGTTCCTGAGCCGTTAAGATTTCCTTCTTGAAGAATGTCCAGCCTTCCTGGTCTCCTTTGCCCTTCAAGACTGCCTCCCAACCAGGACTCTGTCAACCAGGCCCCTAAACAGGCCAAAGTCTGCCCTCCAGAAGTCCAAGGCTGACCCCCCTCCTTACTCCTTCAAGAATCAAAAACTCTGTCTTTGTGATTGCTATGCCTAAGATGGCCTCCAACCATCACATCACCCACAAGTCTTTCTCTGTTCACAAACAACAGGTCCAGTGGGGTGCCTTCCCTAGTTGGCTCATTCACTACATATCACTACATACTCAAGTCCAGCTTGCTAAATAGAAACTTCAACATTTCTTTTGAAGAATCCTGCACCTCAAAGAGTTTTTGGTTCCTGAAATTCAGCAGTGATCAGGCCCACAAGGTCACTCATATGCCTTTCATTCATTTCCCTGAGATGTGTGTGTCTGCTGGGGAGAGAAGGAGACTTAAAAAAATTATTTTGCCTATACAGAGTTGATAAAGTTAGACAATAACGGTAATGTCACAGGACTGCATAAAGCCAGTGAACCCAAATTAATTCTCAAGTGAAGGCTACAGGTATCAAGCTGAACCCTGCCTTGCTGCTAGTCCAGCCCTTAGAGTGCTGCCCCTGGTGCTCTGCTCTGGAGAACAAGAGACATGTACTCCTCCCCATCATCAGCTCAGTGTAGAGGGACGGGCATGTGCAGCCAAGACTGGACCTGCTTCTGCTGACAATCTGGACAAGGCGCCGCTCTTTCACCCTGAAGAACCTCTGACTCACCCTGCACGCGTTGTGGATTATGCTTGGTGCAGGAAGCAGTTGCTCACTGTTTTGTTTATCTTTGATGTTTTGTTTGTTTTGCATCAGTGGAGCACTACTCTGAACAATGTTTTGATTTTAATTTCTTTTTTTTTCCCCCAGGGCTTCAGCAGCACAGCATCTGAAGGCTTTGCAAGCCTTGATGATTTAAGCCTCCCAACCAGCTTGTGGGGTCAGCGTCACCTCCCTGTCACAGATGGGAAGTAGACAGGCACAGGCAGTGAGTAACCCAAAGTCATGCGGCTTTCTGCCATTTGTGAGGTGACGGTAACTCAGCTTCTTCCAACAGATCCCTGCCTCTTTCACAGTATGTTTGCTACAGCTTGCGCAGAGAATGAAGCACAACGAAGCCTACACTAAAGGCCACTTTCAACGCACAACCTGTTATAACAAGAACAAGAAGTACCCCGCTCCTCAGACCCACCAAGTTCAACCTACAACTGAGCATGTTTTAAATGTGCACATAGACATTTAAATCAAAGACTCCAAATAATCTTTAATTTTAATGGAAGCTGGGTACACAGAGGTCTCAGTAAGGAAATCAACTTCAGCTCCTTTTGTTTTATCTACATGAATGAATTAATTTATCACTGAAACCCCTGGATATTCAAAGGCTGGGTTTAATGCTGGACTCCTAAATCTGTGCTGCCTAATGGAAACTAGGACTAAACTGTCCAGTCCTGCATGCTGCACACCCACACTTCTCATAACAGCTGAACTGGGACTATAACATTATTTTTGACATGTCAGAAAGCTTTTAGGACTTTTAAACAGATGAGGAGGTGCTAACCCAGTGTTTGAAGCTCCAGTGTTGCATTTCTCCTGCTGAGTGACACCCTGTAGACATGTCTTCCTCTATGACCCTCATCTCAAGCCTGCTTTCTCAATGGGCAAGGGATGGCAGGGGAAGAGGAGCAGGGTCCTCAGACCACAGGGGCACTGTCACAAAGGAGGGGAGTTTTTTCAGATAAGGTGTCTATAGTTAAGATGTCTACATCTGACATGGCTCTCCAGGTGACCTTGTTTAGTGATGGAGAGGAACAGGCACTTCTGGGCTGTATGTCACCTCCTCTGCTGCAGGATGAGACAAATAAGACTCAACAGGTATCTCTTTCTCTTCACTGACTATAAAAGAAACCAGGACAACTAGCTCCAGCGCAGGTGTCTATATTGCAGACAACTGCGTTTATCCACCCAGACCACACCTGAGGTGTCCCTACCATGACTGAAAGAGCGAAGAATTTCCTGAGTAGTCATTTAGCCTCACTCCAGTCACCTCAGTCCCTTAGATTAAAATGTCGTAGCACTGTCCACTGACACCTTGGCACACAGCAGACCCATCCCCAGACGTGCTCTGGCCAGTGAGCAGGGCATGCTTTGCTCTCCTCTCTGCAGCAGACTACTGCCAGAGACACACGCCAAGGAGGGTTGGGGCAAACCAACAGTTGCCACCTGAACCTGGTGCACAGGATGTGAAGGACAGTGCACTGTGGAGTGGGAATAGGCCTTTTGTGTTAGATGGTCCTTGAATCATGGGGGGTTTCAGTCCACAGCACACCAGGGGCATTAGAGGGAAGAAGACAGCAGGAACAAGGAGGGACATACCCTTGCCATCTCATTGACCTACAGCAAGGGATGTCCACTTGTCTGGATATTTACATTCCTGGCTTTTCACTTCCATTCCTATTTCTGCCATTTGCTCAGTGAATGAAAGAGCTGAAGAAAAGGCACACGAGCTGAAACATCCCGAAAACTCTGAGCTGCCTTCTAGCACAACAAAGAGAAAGAAAATCTCTATGTAGAGATGAAGCTGCCCCTGCCACACCACTGTTTGGACCAGACAACCTCTGAAGGTCTCTTCATACCTATTTCTTTTCAGCACTCCATGAAACCCTGAGCAACAGATTGTTATGGTAGTTAGGCATGGAAATGGGGCTCGGATGAGGAAATGCTTTTGTGGATGCACTGCAAGTACTGGGGGTAAGTTAAACTGCAAGAAGGGAGCTGTGATACAGGCTTCCCTCTTCTTCCAACTCACTCAACAATCTACTTTGAGATATCAAAATAAAGAGATATCTAGGCTTCATTCCACTGGTATTTTTTGTTTTCTATATATATTACATATATAGACATACTAATATATGTTTGTATATTAAATTTTCATACTAGTGGCTCTGCTTACTTATGTACAAACTGACTGAACCCACTAAACTCTGGACAGGAATTGCTGTCGGTGCCCTGCAAGCTGTGGCGCGAGGGCGAGCAGGGCCGTGGCAAGAGCACACAACTCACCAACTTGCGGATTTCACATTCTAGGTTCTGAATACAGTCCAGTTTCCTCTTGCGGCAGCGCTGAGCTGCAATTCGGTTCTTGCTGCGCCGGCGGACGTCGTGGATGAACTCGAGCTGCTCTGAGGTTAGCTTGTGCATCTTTATCATCATCTGGAAATCATTCCTTGGAAGATCTGTGATTTGATCAACAGGAAAAGGAAGTTTCACCTAAAACAAACAAATACAAGACAAGAGCAAAGAGTCATATTTTGCTTGCTGAATGCAAGCTGAACAACAGCGAGCGGAAGGATGATTATCTGTGCTGCCACCCCCTAAACAAACAATGCACCAAATTTTACATTGAGCAAGTTTTTAACACTCCCTTGTGGCACATTGTGGAGGTCCAGCTGGTAAGGATCAGATTATAATGTACTGAAATCAGCAATATAGATGAATCACAAGTAGAAATTTCATCTTTCTAAAAAGCTCTAATAACAGATCTCCTTGCATTAAAAGAAGGCTCTGTCCACTAAGAGACACGGCCTTTTGGAAACAGTGAAGTACCTTGCTGCTATTAACTTCAAACTAGTTTCAAGGAATGGGCTATTACCACAGCAGGAAACCTGTCTCTGCATGGCCTGCAGGACTGAAAGTTTGATTAGGTGTGAGGTTAAAAATGCAACCTGACACCTCAAGTGGATGAAAAATACCATATCGCAGTCAGGAAAGGTCGCCTAATCAGCATTTCAACTGAGCAGTACACCATATAAGAAGAAAGGGTCAGAGGAGTGTGATGCAACATATCCTACCTTGCTAAAATATACACATTTTGAAATAAAGCAGTATTTGCTGACTTTCTAATATTTTTGTAGATTGAAGAGCACCCAACTTGCATTTCTTGAAAAAAACCCCAAACAGTCTAAAACCTCAGTTACTTGCAGTAAAACATTTTTCCTTCGGGCCACGAAGTGCCATCCCGTTTTGACCACAAACCATGCGACAGTAGCGCCAGGTTCTGACTTCAGGAATTCCAACCATCTCTCCAGCTCCTACCGATTATGCATCAAAGCAAAGCAAAACACAAGGCTCCTGACAGCCTGGAGCAACAGACACAAAAACCTGTCTCAAAACCTGGAGAATAGCAGATGTGCTCAAAGACTTCTGTTAGCTTTTTTCCCCCAAAACTATGAGCTTGCTCAAATCAAGTGAGCACCTCTCCCAACAAACCTTGCTTCACTTGTAGCTTGAGACCAATAACATGACTATCAGAAAAATAATGTTCCTCAGTGGACTGCGGTGTTTGGTGGCCAAATTAGAATCAGCTGACAAAGCTGAAGGAGATGACAACTAACTCACTCGACTGACCCCCTTTCTTTTTTTGAGTCATACCCACACTGCCCAAAAGATGGCAGTAAATATTTACATTTCTGTCCCCACCTGGTACAATCCAACCTCTGGAACAAGGAGACTATTCTGTGTGCAGGCTACCAAAGAAGATACAACTTCAGTTGCTCCAGCCAAGCAAAAGATATGGGTTGAAAAGGTTCCTTTGATATTTAAAAAGTGGTTATTCTCTTCAAATGGCACACTTTAATTATTTGGAGATAAAGAAAATAACAGCACAGATTAGAAGGAAGCTATTTTCATCGGAGAGCTGAGTTTGTTTATGCAGAACACTTTGCTGAGGACACATGTGCACCAACACACAGCGGTGGCCTCCGGCATTGACAGTCACAGACCCTCCCAGCGGAGCCGGATCTGCTGATAACCAGCTCCTCGCCTTGTTTGTGAGCTTGTGTTTTCTTGCACTCTTCTATCACTGCTCTGCGCATCTCCAAGCCTGGGCCATGTGCAGTTCAGTGCAAACACATACCGCATCCTTTCGGACAGTTTCATACCCTGAACATTGCCCCTTTGACCCATGTGTCCAGGCACTGCTTTGTAACACACTACTTGACAGGTCAATTTAAACCAGCAAGAAACACCAAATACTGCCCCAAGCCCCCCAGATTCCTGCTTGCACACACAAAGGCTGACCTTAGGCATGGTGATGTGGACTACCTTGTTTACAGACTGCTAATGACATGAAACCTGTTTGATTTCCCCTTGCTAGCCTTTGGACGGTCAACATAAACTCAGTGTCACCTGCTTTTCTCCCAAGCTTCAATCAGGGTCTGAAAATGAAAACAGCCTGTGCTTTCCTCTGAAAGACACCACAGTTTCACTGCAAAAACACTCCTTTCATGTTCCCAGTTTTTCCTTATTTTCTTAAGTCCAAAGCAGAAAGTGATGTTAACTTTATTTCTCCCTCCCTCTCCTTTTCAAAACATATTTACTTGCAAGGAGGACATGTGCTTTCAGCTGGAATGGGAACGAAAGGGAAGCAACTTAAATCTGTCAGGTAGAAGTCGCTGAAGGGAAATGGGAAAATAAATAGAAAGATTCATTAAAAAAAAAAACAACCAGATTGAAAATAAAACCTTCTACACAGCAGGCCAGAGACTGCTATCAGTAAACCCAGCATAATCCCACTCCTGTCATAGGCAGCACTGCACAGGATTAAAAATGTGAAAGGGAGAGTGGAAGTGAGTCAGACTCATTTCCTTCACCATTCACAGCATTTTTATTGCCTGTCTCCCTCTCCGCAATTAGCTGTCAACTGAAAAAGAAAAAACCCACCAAGCCGTTGGCACGGACACAGTGAATAAGTGCGCTGGGGTATTGCTGCAGTGAGAGGTTAATGGTGTTTTACATCGGCACAAGGCAAGGCTCTCAGCTGGTATTTATCACAACAGAGCGGTAAGTCAATTTGCAGGAGCCGATGACTGTGCTATGGGTGGGACTCATCTGACCCACTTAGAGCCATCTGAAATGATGGGTTGGGACTAGCTAGTGTCCAGGTCCCTGCTGTTGGCATCGAGGACAGAGAGACTTTCAGATGGCAATGCATCCCGCATGGCCTCTCCCTCCTCCTGGCTGCGGGAGGGGCGGAGATGAGACTTAGAAAAGATGCTGCATCTTACAGTACCTAAGGTAGGCAAGAGAAACCTTACCTGAGGTGCCTGAAAAAGGACAGTCAATCTTTTCTAAGATGTGTAAGAAACACCCAGCAAGTATGCTTTCTTGTAATCTTTTCTCTTTAATGACTACGAATTTTATACAGCAAATGACTGTGTACTCCTCAGTTCAGACTATTTCAAATCAGAAATGTAAGCAGGATCCCTGCTCCTTCCAGGAGTTACTCCAGCTAACCTCACAGAGCTCTAAAATCTTCCCTGTCAGCACAATTACTCTCTCCCTGCATTGTTACACCAACAGCAGAGGCTCTGTTTCAACCACACAACAAATGAACTGGCACTTTCTGCCACTGCTGCAGCCTCTATTGCCCCCGACTCTGGCTGGATGCACCCCTGAGAGGACAGCCAACCCACCCTGGTGAAAAAGAAAACTTGTTTATGATTTTTGTGGCATTTTTCCCGCCTATATTAGCATTAGGACGCCAATGTAAATGTCATTGCTTTGAGTGGCTAAGTAACAGCAGCGATCTAGACAGATAGGGACAGCCATTGACTCAGCACATGAAAGGCCCATATATAACCAATTCATTCCTTTGAGCTTCACTAGTTAGTGCCAGCTTGGATCATATGCCAGTTACTGCTGTGCCGCTCCCGTACTGTACTAGTTACTGCTGCTGCAGTATAATAATATATTCCTTTGGAATAAAGGAAAGGACCAAGGCTCCGTATTCACTCACATTAAAATACAAATGTCAAGTGTTGGGAATTTAATTATCTCATGAGTAACATGAGCTTTTTCACTCTTTCTTTATATCTAAATTTTAACATCATCTTCCTTGAACTGCCAAGTGCTAGTGAAGACAACAAACTTCCCAAGCCTGGCTTAACATCACAGTAACTAAAAGGATTCATATATTATCCACAAGAAAAAGTAATCATTATGTACTGGGCGTGGGAGGGTGCAACTCAAGGTACGAGCTTGACCTTTATAAATGGTTCAAAATCTTGGCCAGTTGCTCCAGAGTTGTAAAAAATAAAACTGTTGTCTTAATGCCCTTAAATTGAAAGCTGGAGTTATGGAAAGCCTCTGACACTTACAATTGCCCAGCCCTTGGAAAGCTCTCAGGACACACCCAGGCAATCTAGCACAGGGGCTGAATCATATCAATGTTTTTTTGGTGTAGAAAGAGGTAATTAGCTTCATGTAGAAGAGCCCAACACATTAATGCTGTTTTTCCCAGTACCTTCCTTAGCATGCAAGTCTGTCTTCCACAAACGCTCAGGAAAAAATTCACCCCAGGACAGGAAATGAGGTGTGTCCACCTGTGTTAAGGGCTTGACTGCCTACACACTACTTCAGGCACCACTTGTGGTCCCACAGAATAGGGACCTACCTGATTTCACTTGGACAGAGGCTATTTAAGAAGCACAAAGCCAATAGGCCACACTTTGTGTAAGAGAGAAGACAGGCAGGATGCACTCTCACTCGTTACCTCACCCCGTTGTCTACTGGCATAGGTAAAGCCTTCAAAGCACCTCTTCTTTTCAGGTGTCAACGACACCAAGATGGCAGAGGACTGTAAGAGGAGAATGGCAAGCCCAGGCAGTGAAGATCTACCATGGTCAATAAAACAGGTCTGAAATGGGCTTGATCAGCAGGTCCCACTGCAAACAGACTGTCCTACCTGCCGCAACACAATTGATGGCCATGTAGTTGCCCACGGTCAACTCCAGCCTCACCTCCTGAGGGCCGTGAGAGGTGTTTGGGTCAGCAAATGCTGCCTGAGAGGGCACTGCTGTGCACTTAGTGGAGGCAGCCTGGGTAACATTTTGATTTGCCACCTGCCTATGAGAACTGGAGGAAGGGGCTAGTCCCATGGCTGTGGGCTTTAACCCAACAATCAGAAGATGTGGATGGAGTTCTCATCCTTTAGCACATGACTCGGACTTGTATTCAGATCACACACCATTGGTGCTTAAAATGCTGGGCCGACCTCTTCCTGTTCACTGCTTGCAGCGACCCCAGCATCCAGCCCTACAAAGGGCATGACAATACAATATTCCTGCCATTAACAGGCTTTTCTCTGAACAGGGATAGCACGGAAACTCTGACAGAAGCCGTAGGTGCATTTCAGAAGGGCAGATCAGGCAGTGAAATGAGGGGGGATAAAGTGCAGTATTTCTCTGAAAAATCTGCTTTTGCAGAAAAATAAAAGAACTGGAAAGAGTCCTTCAAGAGCTCCATCAAGAGCTTCAGTTCAGGGCATAACAGAATTGATTGTAGGCTGCAATGAAATAATACAGTGTTTAAAGGACCTTCCTGAAATTTCAAGCTTGTAATGGAAAACTCTCACTGTTGTTGTAATCCAGTAATTCTCTGCTACCAGCATGGATACCACTCCTACTGAAGAGAGGAAAGAAAACAAAAACTGACATGAAGTTTATCTTGCAAGACCAATGTTTGACAAGACTCCATTTAACCAGATGTTGCCAAACACAACTCCCAGTGCTCTGCTGATGCCGTCGAGGGTCCTGGTCAGGAGAACATCCACCAGAGAATGTGGAGAGTAACTTTCTCACTTTCAAATTTATAAACCTAGTAAGATCAGGAGAGCTGGGGTGACTGGTCACCAAATTCTGGAGAGGAACTACATACAAAAGCAAGTTAACACCTTAACATGCATTGTCCTTGGTTGTCCTTCTTTCTACATAACACTCTTCACTGAGTAGAAACATTAAGCAATGAAGAAGACTCAACAGGTAACTCAGCACAGATGCAGTAGATTTCTGGTAGGGCAACTTTGGTTTACCCCATTTTACTGGGGCTCTGACTTTGCTAAGTATCAGCAGATGAACAGAGAAAGGGTGGCTGCCTGTCACTTAACATGGAGGGTTTTGGACTCTCACTGAGGCTTATTTGCCTACAGTATCCTCAATGGTCCAATTGCATTAGCTCTGCCTTCATGAACATTTCCTTTGAAAAGTGAGTCACTAACCCAGGCGGGAAATTCTTTTGAAATATAAATGAAAGACACATTGAATGTAATTCTCTAGATAGTAATAGTTCTTGGAAAACTCCACCTCTTACCTCCTCCTACCCTTGTTTATTCTTTTCCTAAGAAAACTCATTCATCAAATTTGACTGAGCTGAGATTTTTTTTTAACTGGTTTAGCAGTGCAACCTTTTTTACAAGTTTTCTAGCAAAAAAACCCCTCATAGCTACTTGCTGAAGAAAATGAATATCAAGAAAAGTAGGTAGAGCTGAAGTTTCTGTTCCTAAGTAGGTTAACAGATTGACAGACTACTTCCTTCTCAACGATTCATTATTTCAGGGCTTATTGTTTTGTTGTTGCTATTTTAAGCAGGATTGTCAGAACCTGCCTGCAAGCACCGCGTAAGTCTTCTCTCTAGTATTATATCCCAATAATTGATTTTTAACAACCTGTGGAGGCCTGAGGGAGCTGGGTGAAAAGAGCAACATAAGCTGTTAAATGTTTCTGTAAAGTCCCATCAGGTCAAGTAACGGCCCCGTTCCTGCAACGCAGTAACACAGGGATACCCCACATTGCACTTGCTGCTTCTATCATGAACCCTTAAGAAAGGGAAATCTCAGAAGATTCTGGGTGTCTCCCCTAACAGGAAGGAAAACGAAAGGCAAAGACATCCTGGAGAGGATTTACCAGCGGTGTTACGGGGACCACCACCTCCTCTGACACTCACACCCCTGCATGGGACAGGGAGGCTGGCCACAGAGCAGAGGCACCTTCACCCACACGGCACCCACGCCGAGCACTAGCACTGAACAACTTGGCTATGTGCTCCTGAACGGCATCCGTCTGCGGGAAAGCAGAGTGCCCGAAAAAAGCAGAGAGAAGAAACCTTTCACCTACTTCTCACACAATCAATACACTGACAAATGATGTTTTGTGACATTAATTCTGGCACTGACAGCACATCGGGACTGAAATCAAGACCAACAAGGTCCAAATTCCAGGGGAACTGAGCAGCCCTGTGAGATAACTGAGGGTCAGAGTCCATCAGCCTTATTCCCATCAGGCCGTCCACCCAAATGAAAGCCCACCCGCAGCAGAAGAGCCTGTGCAGCTGCTCTCTGGAGGGGCGAGCGCCTGTGTGTCGCCCCCAGCTATCTTATCAGGTGCTTTTTGAAGAGAAGCCCAGCAAACACTGTGTGATCTGATGCGACAGAGGGCAAGGGACCCATCTGGGAAGTCGTCAGGACAGCAAGGGCAAACTGACAATTTCGGGAATGGAGAAAAATTCCCATGCAGCTTAAGGGGAGGCGAAGGACAGAAAGCAGTCCATTTCAGACTGCTGTGAGTGACTCCTGCTGTTTTAATAGCTGCTGCTAAAAGTTGGTAGAGCGACTTATACAAGAACTTCCTGCTGCCATTAGGTATTTTCTACTGCCTGGTTTAATGTAGCCTTCACTGAGGTTTGCACCGCAGCGGATCTTGCAGGATTGCAGGATACACACCCCAAGTCACTGTATAAATACAACATTGTTTAAAGAGGCTGCAATGTCCTTTCTTGTATTGTTAACAACCTTTACAAATTCATCTTTCAGACAAAATCTATACTGAAGCACTGGTGTGATCTGTTTACCCTTTGCTTGCTCAGGATACTGCAGTACAACCTCACAGAGCATTAATTCCTCACCACATTTTTAATGCCTAGCAGTCCTAATCAAAATGCCCTGGGGAAAAAAAAAAAAAAAAAAAAAAGCCTTTATCAGCAGTCCCAGGGAGAAAACTTGCTCAGCATGGTGCAGAAAATCTTCCCAGAAGGAAACCAGCAGCAAAACCAGGAGGGCAGCAAACCCTTCCTAGCTCTGCCCCAGAGCCAGACACGTCTGCCTGCCAGCGGCACATAGAGATGGCCCCCCCATACCCCACCCGCTTGCTCCTCTTGTGAATGTCCCTCCTCTCATCCATGCTCTCCTGCACGCATTTGCACACTTTTTTTTGGGAAACCACCAACAGTTGCCTATACCCTTCTCATTTGACTCTTCTGGGCTCATTTCTGCTGCAGCATCTCCACACAATTAGACGATTATGACAGCTAATTAGTCATCAAACCTCAAAAGGCTAACATCCCACCCTTTTCACTGCCTCACGCTGTGCATTAGCCCTTGCTGAGCAAGCAGCACATGCGGGTGGGAGATCCGATGCTCCCCTCGGTCCCACTCCCTGCTCCCTTCTGCCCATCTTAAAGGCAGGACTTCACCAAGTAACCTTGGTATCACCAAGCAGAGTGGTTCTGCTGTAGGGCTTCCCAAATGAGGTGCTATGCATAGTATCCCAGGCAGCCTTCCAAGGAGACTCCTCCCCCTTCTGCATTGTCCCCAGCTCAGGACATGGGGACAAATAACAACCGTACTCTCAAAGCCACAGGTACAGCATGACAGGGCTTAGGACACCAGAGGCTCCCCAGGCTCTTCAGCTCTTGCTTAGAGCTAAGCAGAAAACCACCCAACTAAAGGAATCATCCGCGTTTGTCTGGAAGGTATCTTCCAGAGCCTGGGATGTAGCTGGAATAAGGACAGAGGGATAAAATAAAGTTCACTCTTTCATCCCTAGCCTACAACTGAGCCGAACGGTTCTGTCCTGAGTGCTCACAGCACGTGAACCCCCCAAACTTGCACTCGCTACTCCCCATGCTGAAGCAAAAGCTCTCAGTGGAGCATTTCAGTATGACTAGAAGAGCCAGATATGTGATTTCGCCCAGACGTTCTCCAGGTCATGCAGTTTCCTAATGAAACTCTATGAAAACATCCAGTCTTTTTTCAGTTTCTGGGTTCCACAACACTTCTCCATGATTTAAGTCTTCCTTCAAACTAGGGACTTCACACAGACAGTTTATGTGGTCACGGTTAGTGAGTTATCACTGCAGCATCTTCAGCTGGTCCATCTCTAGTTTTAAAGCGGGCCCTTCTCCCTCTCACGGGACAGCTGCATGACAATTCACAGCTTGCTCTCCAGTCCCCAACCATCCCCCTGCTGTCCTCCTAACAGTCCTGTAACTTAAAGGGTAACTTCTCTTTGAGACCATTTATGCAATGGCTGCTAGAGGTTGCCACCAAAGAAAGTGGGGTCATGGGCAGGAAACATCATGTCCATTGTCACTTAATGGAGGCAAAACCCCATTACCTGCACATGCAAGAGAGAGAGACACACACACATACACACACACACAAGATGACTTGAACACCATTCCTACAGCCGAGGGTGGCCAGCTATGCTACTGTTGAAGTAATTTCACATCTCTTTCTCCTCCCACTCTGTCTGCCTCCTCTACTCAGGCTGTTAGTGATATGCAGCAGCGGCTCTTGGTGCAGGCTGCCCAACTCTTGGTGCCAGCAAAGGCATGGCTTGAGGTTGCTCAACACACTAGCAGCAATAACAAGTTGAGCTGGAACCACCTTGGCAAACCAAGGATGAGGAATGGCACTTTGTGCCATGGGTGAGGGAGGGAGAAGGACGGTAGACTCCTAAGCACTCATCATTCAGCAGTTTGCTATTGCCCCATGCCCAAATTCTGATAACTGCCAAACACCTCGGAGGTCAAGCAGACTTATTTATGTGAAGTCAACCACGTGCACTCAGCTGACGAGATAATGAAAAGAAGTTACTCTTTGCCTCTATAAACAAAGTAAGTGCTGGGGAAATGCCAAGTCATTTGGGAGAATAAAGGAGTGATTAATTCGGTCACAACGACTGCGATATATGAACTTATCTTAAATCCCTACCTCATGCCCTCTGTCTTGCACAGGACATGATTCACTGTCTGCTTCTGAGAATGACCCAGACTCATCGCTGGAGTTTGTTCCATAGGATGGCTCACATTTAATCTGGGCTCGGACTGGGTTGTACAATCCGTCCCCCACCACGCCGGGCTCCTGGTGCTCGGGCGCCAGGAATCGGGGGCCTTGGGAGCAAGGGGAAGAGGAGAGCTCGCAAAGACGCAGACTGCAGGGAGAGCCGCCGCTGCCGTCCTCTGCGTAGGAGTAGGAAGAGCATGAGCTGGAGGTTCTGGTTCTGGTTTCCAAAGGAGGAGAGCGAGGGCAAACTTTAATTGGCACCGGACAGCTGGTGTTCGGCCGCATCCTTCCCGGCAAGTGATCAGCTGTCAGTCCGCTGTGCGAATAGGTCTGAGAGCTGGGGAGGGACTGACTACTGCCAGCCCACAGACCCTTTGGCACAGTCTCAGTGAGGTCTTTGTCCAAGCTGCTCACACCAGAATATGAATGCACCGAAGTGTTTACTTGGTCACAAGCGTTTGAAGAGAATATAACACTCCTCCTGTCCAGTTCCCCTTCTTGCTTACAGAGAGTTTCAAAGCCGGGCCCCCTGAGCGGTGATCCCACTGTGAAGTTGGAAGCATCCTTCTGCATGGCATGGGACTGTCCATAGTTCCCCGTGAAAGGGACGTAATCAGTTTTGTGGTCACCCTGAGTTGTCCCTTTTTCAAAAGGGCATGCTGGACTCCTGCCAAAGTGCTGTTGGGAAGTGCTGGGGAAGCCAACCAAATCTATGCTTTTTGTTCTGTTGAAGAAAGACCGCAAGCAAGAAGGAGAGGACCCACTTTTTGGCCTGTCGACGCAAGTGGGGCTTGGCTGTTTCCTGTCCATTTCAACATCCCCTTCTTTATCCCTGATGTCAGGTTCATCTCCAGACAGGCAAAGTGTGATGCTTTCTTCATCGTTCTCTTCATTCTGAGGCTCGCTTTTTATCTGCCCCATAGCAAGTCCTGATTTGAGGCCATTTCCAGAGCTCTCTTCGCTGAATGTGCTTGCAAAACCTGAGGTACTGATGTGTGATGTGTTGTAGACATTCTTGGTACAAGCAAGCTGGTATTTCTTGTATCTGGGGTACCGTGTTACTGCATCTTTGTCCAAATTGTCCTTGCTATCTCTCAGCATGTCAGAGCCAGGCAGCATCCCTTCGCCTTTGTCTGCTCCAGCAGCAGTGGTTTCAAAATTGAAGGGCTCTTGGTGCATCCTCTCTCGTGGGCAAGATATTTTTGACGTCTCCGATTCCATCGTCTCCTCCTCGTCTCCATCTGAGTTCTCCTCATCATGCATGCGCTGACAGGTGGTATCTTTTTTGCACAGGAACAGGCCATCTTCGTTGTTCAGCAGTTGCGTTTGAAGGAAGCTGAAGCAGGAGTCCTCCAGGTTGTGCATGCGCAGGAATTCAGCGCAGTGGATGACCTCCTGGATGTTTTCTCTGCTGAGTAACAGCTTAGCAGTGTAGGCAAACTGTAACAATGGACCAAATCCCCTGACAGTGACCTGCAAAAAAAGAGAGAGAAATTGCCAGCGTTACCATCAGCTCTTACTATCATCCCAAGTCTTTCATCACGTAGTTAGATAACCTAACAGATCTACTGTCCAGAAGTAAATACTGCTCAGTACCAGTTACTCATCTATCAGGTCAGCAACGATGCTACATCCAGTAACTAGCACTGCTCCCTTTATGTTGCTCCTGTACATCATTGTACAGCTTGAGCTGAGCATTACTTTTCCCAAATATCTTGAAGACCTACGAACTGAGCCTCCGCTGTAATAAAAGACTGAAAAAACCAGGCTGGTGTGGACGCTGCTAATTCTTGGATGGATCTTATTTTAACTGTGATGCAGCCCACCACCCGGAAAGCATCAATTAAAATGTGATTCTTCTGCCCTGATGGAAGCTCTGGTGAACAGTGGTTTCAAGTTTAAGATAACGATTAAATACCAAAAGTGTTTTGGGAAGGAAACATTTAATACTATAGAAAAATTCAACAGAAAATATTTTTCTGCCTCTTTCAAGAGCAAACTGGTTCCTTTTTTTTTTCTTCTCAAATTTTTGCAAACCATTGCTGAATAAATAATAGGTAAGTACTGACTGCAGAGCTCTTTGCTCCATCCCATGGAGACTATTCTCCTCATACTGGTCCTGATTTTAGTGAGCCTAAGGTACAACTCACAGGAAAGAAATCCATATTCAAGTGATAGAAATCACTCCAAGTCCCACCTCAGTACTTAATTTTCTACCATTTTCTTCGTAGAACGACTAACAACTGTTTCCAGGAGAGTGATCTCCAACCAACTGTTCCAGGTCTGAGTTATGCACCCCTACTCGCCCTTTTTTCTCATCATACCATCTATGCTATAATTTACATTCACATATCATATATTAAAAAATACACACTTTCTCCCCAGAATAGTTTACAGTGATATCTTCACATATAACTATCAAATAACTTGCTAAGCCACATGGTGAACTATAGATATTGCCTATTTTTTGATGAAAAATGTACTGGCACTAACTTCTGTTGCATTTTTCCCCCACAATGGGCAGGAAACAAAGGTACTGGGAAAACTCTATTCTTCATGAAGCAGTGAGAGGCTGCTTCAAAACCAGGGCTCACCATCAAGGATAAAGGTTTCTCCACAAGAAGGAGATTCAGTGGTTTGGCCACTAAGTTGAGATTTGGGAGACCACAACTCGATTTCCCATTGCACCAACCACCTTGTACATGACCCTGGCAAGTCACTTCAGTCTCGATTCACCAAGACACCTTCCTGCCTTGCTTGCAAGTCGTATTCACAAACCTGAGTTTCCTGTGCCTTGCATACCGTGGAAATGCATCTAGATGTGATTTAGAGCAGCCAGACAGCTAAACCAGGCAACAGCAACCACATCTGGCACCTATATGTGCACCTGTACACCTCTGTGAGGTTGGGATGCACAGCCTGCAACCTCCCTCTGGCTGTAGGTGTTTCAGGGTAGGTGTTCCCAGCTCAGTTTCGTCTTTTAAAACAAACGAGAAGAGGAAGCACTGCTGTCCCCTTTTCATGAAATAGCCTGAAGATCAGAAGAGGGACCCAGAAAGTAGGAGATCAGGTCCCTTCCCTAGGCTGTGAGGATTCAAACTCACATTTCCCAGCTCCTCAGAAGGATATCCTATCCAGTAGGTATGGGGTACCCTCTGAAGGTGAGCTGCTTTTCCCTGTCCTTCCAATTGAATTAACACCCCTGAGCAAGAAGCTGCTCAAGAGGTCGGCACGATGTCAGACTGTGAATTTGTGATGGTCTTATTTGTGATTAGCATAAATCTGAGTGAATAATTTGGTTCATCCCAACAAAAAGCCTATAAATTCTTTACAATGCCTCAGGACCATTGGTACAGCTCACAGATTTTCATAGAAAATCCTGACTTCCAGAAACAAGTCTTTGTTATTCATAGATCTGCACTTGTGATGCCGGATTATGAAGATAGCACAAGTGGTGCAGACTTTGATGGAGAGAAAAATATTTTAAAACACCTCTAAAATCACTCCCAATAGCTTTTCTGTACATAATATTAATGCTGTATCTGCTATTTTAAGAAACAGTGCATTTTCATGCACATACTTACATACTTGCACATTCCTGTTTTACAATACGCCTCTGGTACAAAATTGCCTAGATTTACAGCTGGCTATTAAACTGATCTCTGCTTTATCAGTGTTACACTTTCTGCCTATTTGTTAGATTATCAGCTCACTAAAGGCCTATCTGCATTTTATCTATGCAGCGTGATTAACAAAATTGCTTGGGAACTTAATGAGCTACTCGCAGGCCAATGTTTCTCTTTGATAAGATCTTCAGTGTGGGGGCTTACATATTCCTACACATCTTGTAAAGCTCCACGGCAGCGTAGGTCCATACGAGCAGCCATAAATACCGTCTGGGGTTTTTGGGTCCCTTTTGATGAGGAGGGACCCTGGAGCACAAACCCAGCTCTCCTGGCAGTTGTGTCACTTGGCCACTAGGTGGAATGACTGGAAAGCAAATTAAAATAATTTTCTGTGCTGGGCCAGGGTTTCACCTGCCTGTCCGCTGCCCCGGCGCAGGCATGCTGCAGAGCCTCGGGCTGACTCATACCACCCCACAGCAAGGCTGTCTCCCACGCTGACTCAGGTTTTCACTCCCAATAAACCACCAAGATAACAAACAGCAGCAAGACAGCTGTTACAGATGTTCTGCGCTGGATGTATCAGAAGCAGAGCCCGAGACTGTGCCGTGGGCTCCCCACGATGCATGGCAGATGCCTCAAGTGAAGGATGATGAAAGTGCTGGTCAAACGTGTGCCTTGACTTCATTACGAGATCTTACCCGGTTTCACAACCTCCCTCACTCTCACAATCTTCAAATCCAAAGGGGGAAAGTTTATTTTCAAGCACCCAGTGCTTGTCATTGCCCTCAGGGAGGACTCTCTCAAGTGCCAATGCTTGAAACTGTACAAACAATAACTTTGGTAACAAACGGATGCAAAGCTTGCTGCCAAGTGTGAAAGCCAGTGCAATCTCTGTCGCCTGAAGCTGTCTAAATATTGATTCGGCTCCTGTAGTGGGTCCCCTGCCTCAGCCCCACCAGCTTTGGGACCACCTGCATCTGATGCATTCTGGCAGGAAGGCTGGAATCGAGGCGCTGGAGCGTAGCTATGAACACTGCACATTGGGAAAGAAAAGGCTTCGAAGCTGCATGTATTAGCATCGCACACGCATTTCTGTAGGAAGAGGTAAGAATAGTCTTTTAGAATGATTTGACCTGACTGATGCATCCCAGTGAAAACAGTTAGTGAAACCAAGCTGATCTGTGTTTGCAGAAGGAAACAGATCGTTTCTCTGATGTAACAGTCTCCATTTACATGTGAGAGAGACCTTTGTTGGATGGGTAGAACACATGCAACAATCTCAGTTTATTTTTTCCCCTACTGTAAATAAGGTGCCATATGCCCAAGATGTGTTTGCTTTCAAACCTTATTTTCCATGTAAATTAATGTTTAATTAGGCAGGTCAATTTGCGGGAACCTCCACTGGGCACCTTGTCCAAGCTCATATGCCAAGTCACTGTTTCCCTGCCCCCCAATCATTTGCCTTATTCCAATTTCTACCCATTTCTACTGTTTAAACGGAATTGACTGGATACAAGAAAACCAGGCACAGAAAAGGTAAAACGTACATATAAAACAACAATGCCCACACAGTCAAGAAAAACAAAGCAAAGATTCCAGTTTCTCAGAGGCTTGCTTTCCCTTATCTTTCAAGGCAGGCGAGAGGAGGACTTCTCTTGTGTACTTGAAACATGCCAAACACCCCATGAAGTCTAAGGATGAATCACTTTATTTTGTCTTGCTCCTGTCCCCAGCTGGTCTTGTATGCATTAAAACCTTTCTGCACACCTACTGCACAGAGGACACGGGTACTGCAGCCCTACCTAAGCCATCTGGCAGATCTTCTTGCTCTACAGCAATCCAAGAGATCAAGCACCGGGGGACCACGTGCAGGTCCTGCCTCTGCCGTGCTGCCACAGGTACACTACGCTCAGCACGTGCTATGGATGTCTATGCCAGTTCAGCGTTGTGGCGATAACAAGCCTGACCACTGCTAAGGTGAAAGAAAGAAAGTTCTCCAGCCCTTTATCTGCCACTTGTCTTTCAGATTGAGCTAGCCAAGCCAGGGGACGTGTTTTGTATGTCCATGCCCTCATGAGTTTATGATACTGAGGAACGGGCTGGAAATAACGGAATGATATAATCACCGTCAAGAGAGTTGTTAATCAGCATTAGCCATATTGAATTTACCGGCAAAATACAGACAGAAGCCCTGCAGAAACTAAGCATGCAAAATCTATTTTAGTTCAGTCTGACACTGCTTTCCTCCTTACAGAGTCCTGTGGAGTGCAATGCTCTGGTTAGTTTTAATTGATTTAAGTGACCAGACTTCCACTACTTCCTTTGGGAGATCATTGCCAGACTCTACTTAAAACCTCCTTGTGAGGAAATCTTCCTTCCCTTATTTTCCTCCATCACCTCTCATTATATTTCCTTGATGCATTCCGGGTAATGCTTCTTCCTTTTGGAGAAATAGTTGTATCGTCATTATACTCTGCCTTCCCTTCTTCTTTGGTTGTTATTATATCATTAACGAAAAACTAGCTAATTCAAGGACACCAGTATTGATCACTGTCAGATGGGAGAATAAGAAATTGAGACAAGAGTCAGCAACGAGAAATGCTAGTAAAGAGGGAAGCATTACAGATGCAAATATAGACTGTTTTCAGGACAGCATTCTTCTAGTACTGGGCATGCACTATTCTAAAATTAGGAGGAGGATTAGCTCACTTCCACGTTAGGAACACTGTATTTTCATCAGGGACTTCTAGGGCAGAAATTCTATTTTAAATGTAGTTGTACACACACCCACAGGCGCCACGGGAGACACAGCACTGTGGGCGAATTCTCTCTGGCTCCCCGTTGTATCGGGTCTCCTCC